CTCCCTCCAGCTATCACCTTTGTCAACGCTGCAACCCCAACAAGTCATCGACACAACATTTAATCGTCCTACCACACACAAATGGTACAACGGAGACAACTCAAGACTCTACTGGGAACTCTTTGAAGGGATAAGCCTAATTTAGTTAGCCTTAGGATTAAAATATTTGTTTTGTTTTTTTGTGCTTTATGTTTTATTTTTTATTATCTTGCTTCACTTTTATTCGTTTTTTCATATATATTCATATGTGGGATTCTGATGTGATGTTCGAGCGGGGCTCTACACCTGAGCTTCGAGGAAAAGCTAAGATTAAGATGGTGGTTACATAGTGTCGACCTACTTGATGTATTGTCTCGTTGGGTTGATGCAAAGATCCTGCCTAAAGTAGATCCTCTTGGGGGTATTGTTGTATAACAAGTAGATTCTGCCTATAGCGACAATATTTCCATAAAAGATCCATGACTCTGGGAACCATGTCTAGAACATTGGAATCGATGGTTACATAGTGTTGACCTAATTGATGTATTGTCTCACTAGGTTGGCGCGAGGACCTTACTTAGAGTAGATCCTCTTGCGATTATTGTTGTCTAGAAAGTAATTTGACATGATGTCAATATTCTCATGTGGGATATGTGACTCTAATAACTTTATAAAATGTTAGAGCTACCCCGTTGTGAGAATCATTTTGTGCCAAGAAATATGAACCATTCTGTCGTGAGAAATTCGTATCTAAACGATTTGAAATCCCACTGCCTAAACCAAAATATATGTAGCATGACTTTGCATTTAATTTTAGCATCATATATTTGCATTCATCGGCGTGCATACATTTTCAAAAGAAATCATTTCACCTTTTCTCGTCCTAAAAAATACATAGCCAATAAACCTTCAAGTTGAATCCCCGACATTCGTACGTGACAAGAATCAATTCAAGAAGGAATATGGAGAATCTAAAACTAGGACATGAGAAGATGAAAGGAGATATTTATGAGCTCAAAGGAACTATGAGTAAAATTATGGAGATATTATAGGAATTATCAATTAAAGGAAGCCAACCCCAATGTATTGTGATTTCAAAGGTTGTTGATTTCTCCCTAGAACACCAACGTACTTAGGGAGTAAGTGTTTCATGACCACAATATGGACTACCACCTGGATACACTCCGCCATTTTCGAATGCTTCTAGAGTAGGACCTTCCACTCAGCATATAATATAAATTTCAGTTACCACCAAAGCACCATCTATCATCCATACTTTTGCCTATGGTTTCTTTGATGATCCTCATTTTGCATACCACATTGCTAGTCTCCAAGACAATGATCTAGAAGAGACATAATATGTTAAGGAAGTAAAGGAGAAATATCATATCCTAGACAAAAGTCTAAGAGTCGTGGAAGGAAAAAATATCTTTTGGGTAGCTGCTATGGACATGTGATTAGTCTCTGACCTGACCATTATGTCCAAATTCAAGGTCTCAGACTTCGAGAAGTATAAAGGATATACTTGTCCAAGAAGCCATCTAAAGAAGTTCTCTGAGACTAGCTCAGCCCTCAGTTTATCAACAACCACTTGTTATGCCACATTTCTAATATCCTTATGTGGTGGTTGTGTAGTACCAATAACCATTGTTCCATGTTCCCCTATACCAGTAACCATGGTCCGCTCCTCCACAAAATCTTCTGGATCAAAATCAGAAACATAATCAAAATAAAGCTTCGAAAAACCAACAGAAGGAACCACACCGTATTGACCCGATTCCAATGACATACAGTCAATTGTGGCCTCAGCTAGTATAGAAGTCATTGGTGACCCCTAGGCCACCCAACCTATGAAATATCCATTCTCTCTTGGATATGACCCAAATATCAAATGAAACTGTCATAGTGGGGTAGTGGGACACTCGATCGAGGATTGTAAAGTTCTTAAAGAAAAAGGTGCATGATCTGATTGATTGCAGGAAAATAACCTTCATAGAAAATGACTCCAATGTGAACAAAAACCCCTCACCTTTATGAGCGTGAAAAATTCACGAAGTACCTTCTAAAGCCAATGGATCGGAAAAGAAAGCTCGTCCTTGAAGCTCATGATCATTGGGCTCTTTTTCATTTGTAATTTCCTTATTTGTTGTGTATTATTCATTTTTAAACTTGTTGCTTTTTGAATGGTAAAATTAATAAAATGATCATGAATCTTTTGGAATCAATGTTTACGTGGTCACTCTTTTAAATGCTCTATTTTCTATTATCAAACAAAAAAACAATACTTCTCCACTTTACCTTCCTTTACAAACTTTTGTTTAAGCAAAGATTAGATAGAGGATGATGTAAACAAAGACCCAAAATTTCTGAAGTATGCTTTTGAATAGAACCTCATTGATTATGTAATACATTTTTTCAATTCCCAAACACTAAGGAGTTAAGGGTTAATCACTAGTCAACCCCTTTAAGTCTAGAAGTTGGTGTTTATTTCTGTGTTAAAAAATCCTCGAGCTTAACCAAGTGCAGGGTAGTTTTTTAGTTAGTTTGACTATGCATTCCAAAATTTAAGAGAATCAATCCAAATATATTCCATTAAGATGCTCAAACACATCTTCATCCTCGCACAAAACGTACAATATCGAAGAAGAAGTTAGAATCCAAAATCTTACAACGATTGTTTCTCTTGAACCATCAACATTATAGTCACAACCATTTTAACTCTTTCAAATCAAATGAACAAATGTCATTGATGACACTCTGTCATTGCATATATTCTGTCGAAGAAATGGAGAAAATGAGCCAAAGATCACTTAATTTTATGAAGAATAACCAAAGAACGGAGCAAAAAAGGACAAAGTATTAAGAAATAGAGACTTTGGGAAATTTTGGTTGAAACCAAATCAAACACATGTCAGCCATTGTAAAAATCACGCCACCTTTTTCTGGGCACTTTTTGATGCAATCTGAAACTTACTGGACGCTTTAAAATGGGGGTTTTTGGCTTTATTTCGAGGGTTCTGCAATTTTACACTGCAAATGACGATTTACAAAACCGGAAGGCATATTTGGAGCGCATTTGGAGCCATTGGAGGACAGTTCTTCAAGGGATATTTTATGTAAACCTCTTATATTTTATTTGTATTGTAATCTGAATAATGAGTAGTTAATTTCTCATAGGTTAGGTTTTGTTTTGATGAACCTTTTTCAATACTGTTGGAACACGTGTTTGATTTGATATTGCATAATTCATTGAAGTTATCATTTTATTCAATTGCACCTTGTTCTTAATGCTTTTATGTGATATACTCTTTTAATATGATTTTGGATGCATAAAGAATACTAACCATTAGTCTATATGTTAGACCTAGGGAAATTGTTGTGGTTACGCCGATTGAATAGGAATAAGAGACCTTGAATAGTTGCTTAAGAATTAACATTTTATTGCATTGGCCAATCTTGCTTATGTTGGTGGACTAGGGATATAAAGCTTTGACTATAGATAAGTGAGTTATGCACCAACAGATTGGGTATAGCAGTCTTGTTAATTCGCCGTGAAATTATAGAAACAATATCAATTATGCAATACATCAACAATAGAGGATTAGGGGCTTCTATAACAGAACATAACCGCTTTCGTATCATTGTCAGAACAAACTTTTATTATTTTTCGCATTATAAATCGAACCCCCCTATTTCGTATTTTTCTCAACATTGCATAAATCTTGTCTTGTTAAATAGTAGTCCCTGTGGATTCGATCTTTTTATTACTTTGAAATTTTTAGTACATTTTCCGCGAAGTCATCAGTCATACAAGTCATTCCCAAAATAAATTAATAAAATGAGAAATGCAACAAAATTGAAAAAGTGCACGTTAAGTCAAAAACTCGAAAAGGTGACTTAGGCAAAAGTAAAGGCATCCTGGTGGACTTCAAACTCAAAAGAAGCACTCTAGAAAAAAATTAGGGATAAATTGAAGGGAAAAAAAGGTCACCAGAATCCTTAGTAAAAAAACAAGAGGATGTGACCACACCGTCAAAGAAAATAAGACAAACAAAAAAGAGGGTGACTGCCATCACAAAAAACCTAATTGGTTCTTGAACCGTTACCTTTAAGTTTCTCTTAAAAGTTGAATGTGTGCGTCGAATTAACGGAACATAGGACCGAAGATCATTAAAGAAAAATAAGTTGATGTTTGCCTCTTAAATTTAAAATTAATTGATGTTTGCCTCTTTAATTTATTATAGGAAAATATGATGTGTCCCAATATAAGTCTAAAAAGTAGTATTTATGGCTCATTTAGGTTAAGGAGAACTCCTACTTTGAGTAAGTATTTTGTAACCTCTTTTGAAAAGTTTGAAATGAATTAGAGTTTTTCCTCATGAGAAATGTGAATGAGTTACGTGTCATCTTGGATTTGAACCTTAATTAAATCTTATCAATGAATTCCTTATCATTATGAATGCCTTATCTTTTAGTGTGCAAGCGGGTAAGTCCATAAAATTTTTGCTAACCAGGAGAGTAATACATATGAAGATTGAGAGACTCTCCTTGGCCGTCGTGATAACGGCGAAGAAGCTCAACTCTTACTTGCAAGGACGTTGTATTATGGTAAAAACCATTAACCCTATTCAACAAAGTTTGAAGTGTATTTTTATGTGCGTGTAGATATGAATCATGATATTATTAGGTGTTTGATCTTGATTACATTATTGTAAGAAAATTTAATATCTATTTTATACCTCCAAAAAACCAATTTTAAGTTAGAGCCGTACAATGCAATAGTAAAAGTACATGCAAAAAATATTTCTTTAATGATGGAACCAAAATCATTTATATTTTAAAGTTCTCATACATTAACACCAGAGAAGATTAGTACATCAATTAGAAATCAAAATTAACAAAGTCCAAGTCATGATTACTAAACATAATACAAACAACCATTAAAAAACCAAACAAAAATACAAATGAAAAGAGATCCACTCACTCTATTGAGAAGAATCTTCAACAATAAGTAATCTAGTTCAAGAGATTTGAGGAACGACAAAGTTTGTGATCTCAGTGTTTACCTCAACCACTGGATTTCCAAATAGGTAATCTGGCTTAAGAGCTTTCTTCATTAATTTATAACAAACTCTATACTTAACAGTTAAATCTGTAGAATCCGAAGGATCTATAGTAACTATCAAACCGTTAGAATTCCCAAGATCAAACAAAGTAGTTGAAAAATTGGGAAACCAATTAAACTTCATTGAACCTTCCTTCACTGGTGTTTCAAAACATACTAAAATAGAGTCTCCAACATTTGAGTACTTTGAGTCTCTTAATCTAACTCGCATATGGCGACGATCACACCACGGGTTCATTTCGATGGAGAATTGTACCAAGCCAATATGTAAAAACTGATATTTGCTTCGATAACTTCTGATGTTATCTCTCGATAACAAATATATATCTTCGCAATGGTTTTCGTGTATATAAAGCTTTTTCTTTGCCGTTATAATTTTATAATTTTTTGTGAAGTTGAATCCAGAAAGTAGGGTTTGCTTGTAGATGTTACCGGTCGGTATTTTTTTAATGCTGTGTTTGTTGATGCTATACGTGAAATGAACGATCTTATATTCGTCTTCTCCCACTGCATCAGTGTTGGCATCAGCATGCGATAATGCAGCAGCCATGAGATCTGCTAAATGAGTCGTAAATTAATACTATAAAAAATAGTAAAAATAAATCATTTATATTTAGAGATGCAAAACGGTAATGTAGAAACTAAGTGAAGTAGATGAATACTTACTTGGAAGGGTGGTTGAAATATATGAAACTTAGATGCAAAAGAAGAGAAAGAACCTCTTATAATGAGAAGCACAGGCCTTTTAATCCTTTGATAAATTGCGTACAATGAATAACTATGATTTACAAAGCAAATCTTAGCATAGCAACAATTTTCTATGTTTGTAAAAACACCCATTTCAACAAAACGGACTAAACGTTGCTTTGTTTTTATCAATGATAAATTTATTGTTGCTTTTCTCCAAACAATAGGGTCACAGAGAATGAGACAGAATAAAACTTAACTCTTGAGGCAAAATACTCACGGTAACCTTAATGTTTTAACTCCATCTGTCTCTAATTAAAACCCTAATTTAACCTAAAATATTGGAAGTCATTTTTTTTTTATAAGCAACATATTTAAATATATATCAAGCACAAGGTGTTTAACCCGTTTACATTAAAAGTTTTTTCATGCTAATCGAGAACTCGGCTATAAGGAGGAATCGTTCCGGTACTATCGATTCTTAATAGAAACAAGATTTGACCAATGCGTCATTCTTCTTATATATATTGAAACTGTTTGGTTAAATCCTTCATGTTTTTATATGGACCAAAATAATGTTTTTCTTTAATTATAGTATAGAATCGAGGGAGTACATTTATTATTATTTACAAAATAAACTTAGTTTAAACCACTGATTTAACCTAAAATATAGAAAGTCTTTTTCTTTATAATATAGGACCAAAATAATTTGGTTTGTTATTATATTTTGGGATGGAGGGTTTATATTTATTTTTATTTTACAAAATTAACTTATTTTAAAGTTTAAACCACTAATTTGGCTTAAAATTTCGGAAGTCATTATGTTTTTTATAAGTAACAGACGCATAGTATCAATAAATAAAGCACAAGGTGCTTAATTCGTTTACATTAAAAGGTCCTTCATGCTTACTGAAGGATTTATGATATTCTTGACATGCAAACAACTAGATTATAATTTAATAATTTCTTTTTTATTATATTTTAGGATGGAGGTAGTGTTTAGTGTGAACTTTGACAAACAACAGCTAATCTTTTGAATTTTAGAGATTTTGATTATTTATAAGATTGATTAGATTGGTCATAGGACAATATATAATGTATATTTTATTTTCTTTAAGGTTTTTGGGTGTCAATCTCTTCGATAGAGATTGTTATTTCAAAAATAGTAACTAATAACTTTAAAATAAAGACGGAAATACAAAGCAATTTCGACTTAAATTTGAATGGAATGTAAAAGATTTTAATTGAAAATGATTGACATTGAAGTCTTTATTTTAAAATTGTTTTTTATTACTTTTAAAAAATCAATCTTTATCGAAGAGATTGACACCTATAAACCTTAAAGAAAACAAGTACGACAAGGGAAAATACGGTTGCAGTTTCTTTAGTTGAATCGATACATATTCAAGCAAGTACGATGGAATATTGAAAAATACTTATAGCGGTCCAGTTATATCCCTAGTGCACACAAAGGGTCCCCCAGTGACCCCAAGACCACCAGGGATGAATAATTTTAGACATTTTGTGTCTGAATTCACAATGACGACAGATGGTCGCGAACATATTTATGGCACATCAACAACAATGATGGCAAGTCTAAACAATAGTACATCAACGTTTCCTGATCCAAGAGTGTCTACTTTTTCGCCACTACAGAGATCAGGATCAGGTATCAATAATATGGGTCGAAATGTTCCACCCCCAGGATTCGCTCCCCAATTACCTAACATTTTAACGAATTCTGCAGCAGCGTTTCCACAACAGATGGATGATAACAATCATGAAATAGTTGGTGTCTTAGCCCAACAAATGACTATAATTTTTAACCCTTTCATCCAAAGTGTTATCCAAACTAACTTACTAACAGAATGCACAAACGAATCAATAATTGGCAGTGCAAATGGTACGAATTGCATATTTCTTTGGGGGCCCCCAGGTCCCAGTTCGACAAACTCGTCGAGAATGGTTGAGAGAAAACCAGGGAATGGTTGTCGAAGAAGATCTGACCATTAACCAACGAGAAAAGAGTCAAACAACCTAGGACCGAACAAGAAATACTAAGGGAAGTTCAAGCCCCAAGGATAGTAATGGTTAATAGAAACCAGAATGCAGACATAGTCCTACATTGAGTTCGATAAGACAAATTTTCAGGGGAAAATAATCTGGCGGCCATGGTGGAAAGGATAATGGCTCGAAATAGGGTAAATATAGGCCTTCGAAGGCCAAATTATACTTTCCTTTTGTCTGAATATGTTTTACAGACTGAATTACCAAGGGGATGTAAATTCTCAAGGTTCACGAAATTTTCTGGTGATACCAGTGAATCCATTATCGAGCATATAGCCATGTATGTGACCGGGGCTGGGGATATATCAAATGATGAAAACCCAAGGATAAAGTATTTCCCTTTTTCACTTATAAAAAATTCCTTCACATGTTTCACGACTCTCCCTACGAGTTTTATACATGACTGGACTCGTTTAGAAAGGTTATTCTATGAACAATTTTACACGGGTCAGTCAAAGATTAGCTTGAAAGAGTTGGCCAGTATTAAGCGTAAGTTTAGTGAACCCATAGATGACTATCTTAACAGGTTCTGATTTTTGAAGGCAAGGTGTTTCACTCAAGTTCCAGAACAAGAATTTGTCGAAATGGTTGCGGGTGGATTAGACTACTCTATCAGAAAGAAATTAGATACCCACTCCCTAAGAGACATGGCCCAGTTGACAGACAAAGTTCGAGAGGTCGAGTGTATGAAGGCTGAAAAAAACTAGGGCTAGCAAAAATGATAGAATAGAGAGGGTAGCCTATTTTGAGATGGATGAAGACGAACCAGAGGTGTATAGTGACCCTCAGGGCTTCGACGAAAACAAACTAGATTTAGCCAAATTAAAACAAGGGCAACCTTATTCATGCAAAGTTCTTGCTTCTTCAAATGGGAAAAATCCTGTCGAACAATAAAATAATCATAATTTCCCAAAGAGAACATACACCTCTGATGTAACAAAGTGTGACGAGATCTTTGACTTGTTAGTCAAAGATGGCCAAATGATAGTGCCTCCCGGCGCTAAAATTCCTCCGTTAGAACAACGAAAGAAAAGAGGTTTTTGCAAGTATCATAATTTTTAGGCCATAAAACCTCACAATGTTTTCTTTTCATGGATTTGGTGCAAAATGCTATCCGAGATAGAAGACCCATGTTCGGTGAGAAGAACAAAGTGCAATGAATGTTGATCATGACCTATTAAAAGTGGCTAACGCCCACTACACAGAACCATCATATATCAACATGATCGACGTTACTGAAGACTTTGAAGACCAAACCACCAAGAATGAAACCTCTGAGGGTTTCAATCAAAATGTTGAAGCAACGGAGGATACTGAAAGCCTCGGGTTGAAGCTACAAAGGTTCAAGATCACTGATGGTCCTAAGGTTGAAATCAACATGGTTGAACTTAATGGGGAAATGGCCATAGATGTTAATGAGGAAAGCATTTGAAGGGAAGATAACCAACTGAAAGTGTCCTATCCCAAGGCCAATGAGAATCTGTTGCATTTCCTTTTTCGCTGTCAAAAGAAGAATTATGAAGCCCTAATGTGTCCAAGATGTAGTTCAATGTACGATAAAAAAGCAATTGAGAACATAAAAAGGGTTTGAATGGTTAGTCGAAAAGGGAATTGGAAAAATGATGGAGGCAGATTTATGTTCGATAAGAGGGAATCCCTCGAAGGAAACATCAAAGAGGAAGGGACCACAGGGAAAATAAATAGGCTTCATTCAAGCCTACTGCAAATGCACCAACGAATAAATGGGTAAAGCCTGTCGAAAACAGGGTTCCTGAACAAGGAAAGTAGCAAAGTTTTGAATTCGGGCGAGGCTCTTTGATTACCTACCAAAAGAAGTTTCAAGTTTTCTGACAACAGGCTTACAAGTCTGAGAATTACAAGGGAAAGAACCTGATGCCAAGGTCTTAATGGAGAATATTCCAACAAAGAAAGAAAGTAGAGAGAGAAGCGGCGGAGGCAGGAATGGTGGAATCTAGCACCAACTAGCTTCCATCCATTGACAGGGTCGAAGAGAAAAAATCAGTGGGAAGGAAATTATTTTCTCCTAAGGGAGAAAAATCCAAAGAAAAGATGCCAGAGCAACCTCATGATGACGAGGATATGCTGACTGGCGATTTCAACTCAGATTAGGAATCCTCCTCGACATCAATTGTAATGTTGTTTTCGTGTTACCTTATAAATATGATCTGCGACAGAAGTTGAAGAGACGGAGGAAAATAATGAAGCTGAAATGGCCAAACATAGGCCATATGTTACTATGTCATGAACAATGAAGCTGTCGAAGAACAAAATACCTTCTTCGAAATGCCATATGTGGGGATGAAGAATCATTTAAAGCCTTTATTTATAAGGGGTAAAGAGGAAGGTATTGGGGTCAACAAGATCCTAGTGGATGGTGGAGCGATAATTGATTTAATGTTGTAGTTCATGTTAAAAACAATAGGAATGTTTGATACAGACATGATTCCTCACAATATGGTCTTATCGAATTATGAAGGGAAAATTGGCCACACCTTGGGTGTCATTCATGTCAATCTAAAAGTGGGTATTGTAAGAACAAGAAGTGTTTCTAGATCTGGCCTTAAGATTTTGATGATAACTTTACATGGTATCATAAAGAATAATTGTATACTCTAATGGTTTCGTTCTAGTGTGTAGTTGCTACTATAATGTTCTAACTCTGATATTAAGGTGTGTGACGTCATCAGGTTCTGAACATAAACACTATTGGAAGAAAACATTTGGTTTTATGTTACAGTTAAAGTCAAGATTCTGGATTTCATCTTATGCAACGGT